AGGGAAGGAAGGCCCTGGTGCAGATTTCCTGGCTGCTTTTGAGTGCTTTGGAGCACTGATGGTGCTGGCTCTGTCTGTGCTGGGGAGCTGCAGCCTCGGGCAGGGGTGACCATCTCCTGTGCCTGGGCGAGTGCCTGTGTCACAAACCAGACATAACCCACGTGTCTCCTTTGCAGCCGACAGCTCGGATAACTCTGACCTGGAGGACGACATCATCCTGTCCCTGAACGAGTGAGGAGCGGCTGATGGGCGGGGTGTGGGCAGGAGGAGACGCTCCCTTCCCGACCAGAGACCAAATTGGAAACCGACTGAACACCCCAGCCCTGCTTTTCATGGGAAAACCTGAGGATCTCCTGCCAATCCGCTGTGTTGGTTTGAGTCAGTTTGAGGCTCGGGGCTAAGTCTCAATAAAGAGACCTGGGGTTAGGCCTCATTTCTCTCTGCCTTTTTTTCTTTTTTTCTTTTTTTTTTTTTTTTTTTTTTTTTTTTTTTTAGTTTTTCATTTTAGGCTGAGATGACTCTTCAAGGAAACTTCTGAAGATATTTCACAATATATTTTCTTTGTATAAAGTTCTTTCCTAAAGAACAGAAATAGTTTTATAAAAAAAAAAGAAAAAAAAAAGAAAAAAAAAAGGCAAGTGTTCTAGTAAAGAGGGGAGACCTTTGTATTTCTGTAGTACCTTGTTACCATGGGGTAGGTTTGGGGAGAAAAATTGTTTAAAATTAAAAGATTAAAATTTATGCAACTACTAAGTGAAATAAGAGGATCATGGTTTCTAATATTGTTGAGGAGTGAGAATATTTTTATTTTAAATATGATTTTATTTTTAAAAGAGAAGAACTACAGGTGTTAACACCTGCTAATGCACCAGTGTGTTCCAGATGCTTTTGTCCTCCAGGGAAGAGCCCCTGGGGTGTTTGTCAGTTTGTGCTGTGGTACCAGCTATAGTGGGAGGCTGAAATCCTGGCTGGGCCTAGTCAGAGCCTGGTATTCCTGAAGACATGGGAATCTGGGATTGAAGTTAGAGCCCTTTTTCTCCCCTCTACCTTTTGTGGTTCAAGTTTTTTAATATTTCTTTTTTTTTTTTTTTTTTTTCCCCTCTTGCCCTCTGTGTGGAAACTGCAAATTGAAGGCCTTTTTCTTTAATGTAAAGTGTATTTATTAAAAAATTAAATACAAATCCCATCTGTGTGTATGGCTGTGAATCGTAGCTATGCAAAAGCAGTGCTCCATGTGTCTGCAGGGCTTGGCTGAGAGCAGCCAGGTAGAGCTGGAACCTACCTAAGGAAGGGCAAAGGAAACACAAAAAGGGGTTTGGGAGTGCAGCATGGCCATGGCACAGCAGCTGTGGGTTCCAGTCTGATCCCTTGGGTTGCCTGGAATTCTCAGAGGCATCTTCACCACACTGAGTGTGGGAGCTGGATGATTCCACTGGTGCTGGGCTGTGGTTGTGTGGGGAGGTGCTCCGGAGTGTCCACTGCGGTTCAGGCAGGGAATTCTGCATCTCCCACGATGTGCCAGGAGCTGGGAGCAGCAGCAGCTTCCTCCTGTGGTTTGGCATTACCCAGGCTGCCCTGTAGCTGTCAGGACACAGGGAAAATCAGGTGCTCCTGTTGGGGCATGACAAATGCCCTGCCCTTAGAAGAGGAGGAAGAAACAGCAGTGGAGTGTTTGACTTTGCAGTACAGCAGCCAACTCGGGCCTGTGCTCAGAGCTGGCAGGTGAATGTGCTCACTGCTTGCCTGGACAAGGCCACGGCTGTGCTGTTTATTCCAAGGTGTTCAGATACCATCCACTCACCTTTTAACCCTTTCTCTCTTTTGGCCACTTTCAGAATAGGGTTTGAGGCACAACAGGGAACTGGAGACTTCTCACTCCTTGACACTACCGTTTTCCACCAAGAGCTGCTCATTTCAACTAAGGCTAAAGGTCTTACTGCTTTGAAGAGGAAGAATTTCCTTTTTAACTGAAAGAAGGGGTAGCTTTTTTTCCCTCCAGCATTTGCATCTACTTAATGCACTTACCCAGGGCTGCTTGTTAATAATTAAAAAGAAATGTTCTGCTGCAACTTATAATGGATAATTGTACCCTACACAGTCAAGAAGGATGAACAAATCACTACTACAGTATTCAAGACCAGCAATTGGAGCAGCATTCTCATTAATGAGGGGATTGAAAGTCGGATATGCCACCCAGCAGCTGTGGAAGTAGCCTCTGCCTTGTCAGAAACCATCCCACCCAACTTCACCATAGAAAAATGTGCAGCTCAGGAGGAAAAAAAAAATAAAGCTTGTACTCAGCTACTACCCCCAGGGAGCTGCAGTGCCAGATGTCCATATCTTGTTCTGGCATTAAACCCCAGCTGTAATTGGCTGCATCTGCTGTTGGTTTGGGCTTGGCTATTTTGGAGAAATTTATCAGCTAGTTTTGCGAGACAGAACCAAAACACCTGGGATGGAGCTCCTGTGTATGCTGAGGTGCTGTAAGTATATGAGCCTCCCTCCCCTCCCACACCTGCCCTAACTCCACTGAACAGAGCCAAAGGGAGTGGGTTTGGGCCTTACCCTGTGGGGAAGGAGGCAGGGCCTGCAGGTCAGCCCCCAGAACTGCTGAAGCAGTCCCTGTCTCCTGTCCTGGGCAGACCTCGCCTCTATGAAGTTAAATACACACCTGGGGAAGCTGCCTGTACCCCATGCTGCTGCCTTAGTTCTGGGGGTCTCATTGAAGAATTCTTGGGGAACAGGTGACGGCACCAACCTGGGTGCAAAGCGGAGTTCAGAACTGGACACTAGCAAGGGATTATTTTGTTTTTGTCAGGCCATAATTCTGCAACTGCTTGGGACAGGGAGAACTCTCAGCATTCAGAAAATCACCTGCTACCCTGGCATCATGATTTAATCTTATTTAAAAGCATGCTGCTTGGAAAGGATCCTATAATCTTCTGGAATACTCACAGCACGTGGCTGATGTGGTGCCATACAGTATTTCTTCTATGCAGCAGTTACAGACCCTGGCTTAGGGGGGGTGGAAGATTTAAATGTCCTGCCAGCTGGCTAAGACATACTTCTGCAGCAGAGGGGAGCAGGGATGATGCTGTTTCCTCCCACAATGTGAGCAGAGGAGCCCAGCACAGCGTGTGCTCTCCTGTCAGCATGGTCACTGCACTGGGACCCAGTACCTGCTTGGTCCATTTGGTGCCTGACACACCCTTCCATGGAGCACAGCCTGTGGAGTGCCCTGCCAGCACCCTGGGAGGGAGCAGCACATCCCTGCTGTGCTGGGCTTAAAAAATCTCCCACAGGCCAAGGCTGGGAGAGCAGGGTACAAACCTCACCAAGTGTAGCTATGGGTAATGACTGAGGCTCCTCAGCACTGGTCAAAGCACATCCAGGGCTAGCCCTCATACCTGTTTCAGTAGGAAAGACAGCCAGCAACTGATGTTAAAGAGGCCTTGTGAGACAGAATGTTTGCTAAATGTGTGCTTAGAATAAAAGATAGGGTACCTCAGGCTAAACCTGAAAACTCAGACCAGCCCATCCACCATGTCACACCCTGCTTGAGTTTCAGATCACCCCCGAGGAGCCAGACACCATTACCCTGCCATGATCACCTTACTGCCCCATTGTACTGGGCTGAAAGGCACCATCCTCCCCAAAACAACCCCAGCACTGCCTTAGCCAGCACCTTCCAGCATCACCCAGGGGCTCAGGCCTCCACCCCCTGTATCTTCTCCCCCAGAATTGTTGCCCATCCCAGTTTAAGGCCCAAGTCTTTGATGCTGTAAGATCCAGATGCAGTTACTTTGTTGTAACTGCCAACCCTTTTCCAGGTCTGTTTCTCTTGGAATCAGCCTGGATGCATCTGTGAAGGGAGGGGATGGTGGACAAGGGTCCAGGGTGGGGCCTTTGGCCTTGGCACAGTGTTAAAGCCATGGTGTGGCTCCCTTGCCTGCTGGGGAGCAGGGAAGGCTCAGGTCATCGTGCCAGACGGATGCTGCTGCTTCTCTCCCAGGTGTTTTTTCTGTAACTCTCCAACGTCTCCTTTACACCTGTTAATTTTGGTAGGAGGGAGATTTGTTGGTCTCATATGCTTACAACCATCAGCCACCTCTCTGGGAACACAAATGCCATCATTCAAATCTCATCCAACCTTTGTCTTCTAAACAACCCTACTTTATTATTTACTTATTTCACAAGGAAAGTGGGAGATGGGGGATTTTGGGCTGGTCCTTGGCTTTGCCAGCAAGCAGTTGCAGCTTTTTTAATTTACTGATTATTTTTTTTTTTTCCTTCCCTTTCCTAACATTCACACATCATAACACACAAAAGGCCATGGCACAGCAGGAGCTGCAGCTCCAACTGCAGGGACACCTCCAAGGCAGGATACTCCCACAAAAGGCTCTAATCGCCCTAGGGCCAGCCACGAGGGGTATTTAATAGCACTTGGTTTCAGATAACACTGAACCAACTGTTGACATTTGGCACCGTCTGCGTTACAACAGCATCGGGGACTCGGTCACGAGGGTGGAGTCGGTGTCCCTATAACCGTGTGACACCGGGGCAGCCCAGTGCCACCAGTGCAGGCAGTGGAGCTGCTCCTCTGCTCCCACAGCGCATTCCCGGATCCCTGCTGCTCCCAGTGGAGCATTTGGCTCCCCTCCTTCACAGAAAATGCATCAAGTGAAATGCAACCCCCACCCCCCAGCCCAAAAAACCAACCCACGCTTGTTGATATTAATAACCCATCACCAGCTGATGATGTCCCTACATCTGCAGGGTTAAAAAGTGAAAAATAAAAGCATCATTAGATTGAGTTATGCTCACTGCTAAGTGGGTCGTGACACCAATCATACCTGAGAGGAGTTTTAGAAGGGCTTTTGGCAACCCTCAGCAAATGAGCTGCTGGGTCACAGAGATTAGTGCGAGGTAAATCTGGTTCTCCCACGAATTTGTTCACTTGCTTACCATGAGAAAAACAATAAAAAAATCACCTGCAAATCTAAAGAAACTTTAAAATGTAGCATTTTTAATCCCACACAATTTTCTGTAAGTCTCCTAAAATCTACAGGCATCGCTTTGAAAAATAAAAATATCCCCAAACAGAACAGTATGGATTTTAACTCCAGCTTGGACTTGTTACCACATCCTTATGTTGCTGAGCACTCAAAGGGTCTGGCCTCCCAAGCAACCACCTCATACCACAGACAGCAGAGGTGATGCATCCACCCGTTTCAGAGCTCAGATTTTGACCTCCAGTGGTTTCTGTTACAGATCACCTGTGCTAACAGAACACATTCTCAGCCAGACAGACACGTTTCTGTCTTTTTTTGTAAGCCTGCAAACAAATTTAAATAGGAAAAAAAAAATTAAAAAATAGCCATTTACCTTGCAATAAAGGATTCCAGGTGGTACAACATGATTGACTGCACATGAGCACCTCCAGCTCACTAAACACCTTCATGCCCCTGGCTTGTCCACATTGAATAAGGGTCCAAGAGGGTCCCCCCTTAAATAACTTTTTTTTCCCTCTTCTGCTTGTTTTTCCTTTTATAAAAATTGGGAACGTCAGACCTTTTTTGTTTCTATGCAAGCATTTCTATGACTGAGACATGCACCATGTGGTCTCAAACCTCACCAACTTGAATACAGGATCCACTCCTTACCAGCAAACTTTTTGCCAAGTATCAACTAATTTTTTGGTGTGTATGAAAAACACTTTTATTCTTCATCAGGCTTTGCTTCCTTGGTAGCTGGCTTCCTGGGAAGCTTCTATTCTCAAAGAGAGACTCAACAACAAAGCATCCAGACTCAAATTTACGAAATAAAAAGCAAACAGGACAAAAAATAAAAAATAGAGAACCAACCTTTCAGTCTCTGCTACAGCACAAATAACCCCTCTTCCTCTCCCACCTTGAAGGACACATATAAAGATGAAGGAGGTGCTCAAGGTAGGGATCTGAGAGCTGAACTGGGCTGGGGCCTCACCTGGCCTGGCTGCAGCACAGGGAACTTGCCCTTCCTGGGCCAGAAGAACTCGGATACCGCACAAGTTTAGAAATCCATCAGTGAACAAGGCTTTACTGACAACTTTTCATACAGTTAAAAAATAAAAATACAGAACAACAGCGGACAGTGTCACATATTAAAAACGAATAAAATGGGCTCTATTTAAAATTTTAATAGATATTATAGGTATTAAAATTAATTAGAAACTAAAAATCTTACCACTCTGGTCAAGGTGTTTTGAGCCTCAACCAAAATGATCAGCCTTAAAAACAACTGGGCTGTGTGACACACAAAGAAAACATGGAATTTGAAAAGACAGTGTGGGCTAGGCAGTGTCTTTGACTATAACTATCACCATATGTTCTTCTTCTAACTTCCCCAATGTCCTTAGTGCTGACTGGAGGTACTGCTGAGAGAACTCGCAAGGAGGGAACGCGTAAAGCATGCCTGTGCTGTCCCTGCCCTTCGCCCCTCCCACGGGCAGGCTGATAACCCCAGCAGCCTGCTTCTGTTTCAAGTAGGAGACCAGATTCCTGAGAAGCCGTCGCTGCAAGCCAGGCTCTACCACAGGGAAGGTCCCCTCGGCCCCTGCCCCTGCCGGGGCTGACTGGGTGGCCAGGAGCACGGCGTAGCCGTTGGGGCTGCCTTGTTTGATGCGCCGGGTGACTTCATCCAGCTTGGGCTGGTCCAGCCGAAGTCTCTGAGCAATTTTGAGCTGCGTCAACTTCCCGCCAGACGAATGGTCTTTGAGGAGTCCGTTGATGACACCCAGGTCTCCCTCCAGGATGTGCATAGAGGTGGGGAAGCAGCTGTTTTTTAGCACAAGAAGCCCATTCCAAGCAAGTTGCAGTGTCTGAGCATATTCTGATAAATTCTTTAGCTTTTTGGTCTCAGATTTTGGCTCCTCGTGAGTTTTTGATTCCGATTCACCAGTTCGATGATTGCGTTCGCTGTCCCTTTTTTTGGGCTGGGGAGCATCGGCTGGCTCGCGATGGGGTTTCTCCTCAGCCGCGTGACGATTGTTCTGGAGGGAGTTGCTCTGCTCTTTCTCGGCTCCGGGTTCTGTAGTGTGATTCTCCTTGCGAGCCCTGTCAGGGCTGCGGTCTAGAGCTGGCCCACTGGCCTTTGTCCTGCTTCTGTCCTCGTAAGGCGAGTGAGTAGTCCTCCCACGGTCACTGGAAAGACTCCGGCGTCTCCGCCTCTCTTCCCACGGTTTGGGCACGCTGCGGTCGCCGTCGCTGCCCCAGCGCTCCCCGCTCCGGCTGCGCACGGACCGGCTGTAGCTCTCCAGGTTGTTCCTGCGTTCAGCGTTTTTGGCAGGGCTGGCCCAGTCTGCCTCCACAAAGCTCCTGTCTCTGTCCGAGTACAGGAGGTGCGGAGGAGTCCTATCCCGCACCCTCAAGTCTTGCTCCAGGCTCCGGTGCCGGCTGTACCCATCAGCCAGTAGCTCGTAGTGCACGGGGAGAGGCGCAGGCTGGTACTGCTGCGGGTATCTCGTCTCTTCTGCTTTGGCAAAATCCACTCGGAGTCTCCTCTCTGGTCCACCCAAGGGGAAGCCCCTCATCTGCGCGCAGGCGGCCTGGGCAGCGTCCAGGCTCTCGTACTGGATGTAAGCGAAGCTGTCGCCCTTCACGTAGTCAATAGTCCTGATGCTGCCAAAGCGGTCAAACTCCCTGGCCAGGGCGGCCAGGGAAGTGCTGGGGCCAAGGCCCCCCACCCACAGCCGGGTGGTGGGGTTGGCTTTCCCGTAGCCGATTTTGATGGGGTTCCTGCCCACAACGCGGCCTGACATGGCCACCTTGGCCCTGTGAGCCATGTCCAAGTTCTGGAACTTGAGGAAGGCATAGGCACCGCCCTGGCCACGTGCGGGGCGCTTGATCACCACCTCCTCGATGATGCCGTACTTCTCGAAGGCGCGCCTCAGCTCCACCTCCGACACGTTGTGGTCCAAGTTGCCGATGAAGAGGTTGCGGGTGGCTCTCTGGTCATCCTCTGGCATCAGGTCTTCCTCGGCCACGATGGGGTAACTGTACGGGCGGCCGCGCTCGTCGTACAGCCCGTAGTAATCCAGGGCCCGCTCCCGCTCCCGGGAGAGCCCGATGGCGGCCGCTTCCAGCG